ACACACACACACACATATATATATATATATATATATATATATATATATATATTATATAGTAACACTGATAAATTGCGCGTGCAATCGTCTTTCACATGAAAATTAAGGATTCTGACATTATAGTGATGCTACTATGTGGGATGCAGAGTCTGCACAATATAACAGTAAAATAATGTAAATATAACGACAGATTAATTTATTGCGCAAATGTATATTTGTGAGTTCTAATCAATACCTGCACTGCCAATGGCGCTTCATTATTGTTATTATAAAAGCTTTATTACACATAATTAAAATGCAAGCACATGTACTAAATACAGTCTTTTCCATGGAGAAGCATTCATCTTTTCAAAATGTCCCTGCATATGGGGTCCTCACATCACTATAAGACCATCCAAAAGACCAATGCAGTCCCAGCACCTTTGAAATTAAAGGTTTGAGCTTCTGTCCTGAAACATGCAAAAGCACAGCAGTTATATATATATATATATATATATATATATATATATATATATATATATATAATATATTGCAGACTGGGGTCATATATGTATCGTCCTTATTTCATATTGTCATCAGTACTGTCGTGTATGTTCTAGTAATCGTTTCTACTATGTTATTGCGCGTAAGTAAATACTATTAAATTCTCTTTGACTAACTTAAAGAATGTGTTTTTATTGTTTTGCTTCGAATGCCAACGAAATATTTCGTGCAAACGCACGCTTCTGTAAGATTTTTGCATGGCATTTTGTGTCTCGCAATGCAAACGTCTCTAATGTTATTTGCGTTGTGAGGCGATAGATGGTGAGACACAAACTCCACGACAGATGGCGCTTTCGCTTTCGCTCAATTCACCACTGCCACAAGTAGATTTCCGTTACAATTTGTAAAGCTTTTTTTACTACAAGTTTTACAGCAGCCACGTTACTTGTATCCTATGTAATAAGATTTGGACTAATAAAAGTTACAAAGATATTAAAAATCCGACCGTTACTTCATGAAAAATTTGATAAAATAGTGATACGAAATAATACGCGGATTGTGCGCCCAGTTACCTCTTTCAAATCATACGCTGTTTACGAATTTCCATTCGCTGGATTTCTCCTGAGCTCCGCCCACTTTAAAAATAGTGCTAGCATTGTGGCCAGATTGTGGCAGTGGTCTGGCAGTGGTATCCTGAGTCACAGGCTGAGTGTACGAAGGGGCACTGCATGCAGTTTGGGTGAGACATTCGTTTTATATTCCCACAGTGCCTTGCGCGCCCCACCCTGTGACTACTGTGCCTAAATTTATCTGCGAAGGTACAAGTCCGTTTCAACACAAGGATACATAAAAATCTGGTGCCGTTCTTCGTCCGAAATGTGTGTCTGAGGAATAGTGAGAAGGCCGTGCTAGGTCTCACAGGTGTCAGTGGATCGTGCATATATCACTGGGACGAGCGCCGGTGTCACCGGTGTGCGCCGTCCGTGGTCGACCCCCATCGGATGGCTATGGGCTGTTTTGGAGGCAACAAGCAGGACGCTGAAGACGAGAAATGGAGAAAAGAGACGAATAAAAAAATTGAAAAACAGCTACAGAAGGATAAACAACTTTATCGAGCAACGCACAGGCTTTTATTGTTAGGTACAACAATTTACGAATGGCTAAAACAACGAAAAGTTGCAACTGTAATGCGCAACTCGTCTGTGACCGTTTATGTACTGACTGCACTCACTGTACAGTGTACTCTCTCAGCAGTGGCTGTGTTTAGTTTCTCGTGATCGACGCAGGGCCTTGCATTTGTGCAAACAGAAAATTTTGAGTCCTAACATACCGAGTTAAATTCGAATTCTACTAATTCTGGCTACCAATAATCTACATACTGTTGTCAGACTCATAGTGTTGTTGAAATCATACAACATGTTCCGATTCAACATAACCATAACTAGTAATAGTAATAATCTAAAGTAATATGCAGATTTATTTCACGCATACCATATCTTTATTTAAAATTAGAATAACCATGTTTTAAAAAACAGCAGTGTAATGCTGACTGGTTACTTTTAGTACTTATCCAATTACTGAATACAAAGGTACCGGCATCTTGAGTGAGATGTGACCAGTCTATACAATACATGTACAAACTGGCACTGGTTTTCATTTTCAGTGTGTTTCGAATAGAGATAAGTTGTATATGATGCTCTGTAGAAAAATAATTAGGACCATAGTGCCAATGCTGCTCCTGTGTTGGCACATGATAGGTAAAACTCCCAAGCGCTATACAGACTTGCTTGACAAACAAATTTTCAATTGTTTACTCAACAAAAATAGCAGACTGAATTGAATTGCCTTGGTAACACCACTTGTTTTCATGGTGCATGGTAGCTCTAGTAACTATAGCCCGCGTACAGTTGCCGCTGGCAAATGTACGGGGGCTATAGTTACTAGAGCTACTAGGTGCATGGCTACTTTTCATTTCCCCATTTATATATTATCTGTAGAACAAATGATGCCCCTGAGATGTGTAGTTGCAGTCCGCTATTTTAGATTTTACAAAGAGAAGTGCACACATTTGGGTATGTTATTTAAATTGATTGTGTTGGTATACACTGGGCAGTTTGTCTGCAGTTCAGAGACATGGAAGCAAAGATTCATTAGTCACCTATGGTAAACCAGACCTTTGATTAACTGTATCACTTTCGTCTGGCAATCTCAGTTTATTACTCATACTACATGATATGTTTGTAAGTGTGCCTTCACCCGCAGAGCTTTAGCAGGCCAGCAGTCATAGTTGAAGCTTTATTGTGGATGCCACCATCTTATAATTACATAATTTGATAAGCAGAGGTGTGCTTAGATCTGTTGTAATCAAGAAACTGCCTGTTGTGTCTGAATACCATTTAAAATGACAAAAATCTGTTTTACTAATCAAAAGTGTAGTGGAAAATATGTGTAGTATGCCGATGCGATTAAAGTTTGATGGATTGTTTTTACCCTAGCTTTCCTGGTGTCTGCGATTGACGCCACATTTTTTTTAATTTTTTCTCGGCAGGTGCTGGAGAATCAGGGAAGAGCACCATTGTGAAACAGATGAGGATCTTGCACGTGGATGGCTTCGACGAAACGTGCGCTCACTTTCCTCTACCCGTTTCATTATAATCTTCACTCTTGCTTTAAACTCAAGAATTGTAGTAGTTTGCATAGATGAAGTGCCTAGCAATGTTGACAGTGATCGAATGTACAGCACTGCTGACTGTAAAGAATAGTGTTTGGTGAGGTGTAATAGCCCTGTGAATAGAATGCTAACAGTGCTACATTTAAATTTGCCTGGGTAAAATCCAGCACATGGATAACAAATATCAGTTGGCCATTTTATTCGTGCCTAGTGGCCATTGGACAGTTGCAGGTGAACTGACATTGGTTTTTGTTACAGAGAAAAGAAAGATAGGCTTCAAGATATACGGAAGAATATTAGGGATGCAATTCTTGTAAGTCTATTGGCCATCCTACTGTGGAATGGAAAAATATCAATTCTACTGTAGTCTGCCATAGTTCAGTGTTAATGATTCCCTGTCCGTCATTGTCATTGAGCACATACAAAAGTACACGGAATCCCATACAAACCAGCACACCCCAGGCCCATACAAACAAGCGCACGCCAGGCCCATAGACACAAGCACAAGCCAGGACCATGCATGACACACCCATTCACACATGCATGCATACACTCACGCACGCACACGTGAATGTACAAACACAGACACACTCACCAATGAACGTACACATAAACACGCATGTACACACACACACCCATACACACACGTCCGCACACGTGCATAAAGATGCACACACCATTTGCATATATGCATAAAGATGCACACACCATTTGCATATATGCATGTACACACATGTCTGCTCCTATGTATGCACACAGATTAGCACACATGGACACGTTTACACACAGACACATGCACATATCAATGCAGGCACGTGCATGCATACAGATGCAAACACCAATGTAAACATGCATATATACATGTATGCACATGAACGTTTGTATGTGTACAAGAATGTACGCAAAGATGCCCGCATGTGAATGCGCAAGGATGTTCACAACACATGCACACGTGCATGCACATACACACAGATGTACACAAACGTGCACACAGATGTACATAAACGTGCCCACATGTACATGTACATGGCTGTGCACAAACGTGCACGTATCTACCATTGCTTACTAACTAGTGCACACATCCGTCAGTAAGGATAAAAACCACTTCAAATATTAGAAATTATGAGTACCACAAACCTCCTCTCATATGCGACTCATTTCGCAGAAAAACCAAGTCGAAGCCTTGGTCGCTGTGTAGTTTACTTTATGTGTTAGTTGGCGTTGGCACGTGTTGCTGACGCTCCACGAAGGAAGCGTGACATGGGTCGTGACTAGAAGGTGTGGGTTGACGGATCTCGTGGGTGACCCTAGCTCGGTGTGTTTGTGCAAGTGTGAGGCACGCAAACTATCTCTCCTCTTAGTTCCTTCTCTCCTCGTGGAGAATAGGGCTGGAAATCAAATTTCTCCATGACGCTCTATCTTTGGCAGCTCTTTCAGCTTCATTCCATGTTTTAAACCCTAATGTAATCCTTTCTTTAGATACCTTCCAACATAAATGCGCAAACTATACACTGGCGTTTCTCAGCGTAGCGCAGTGGCGTTGCTGCACGACCGAGTGGCTCCAGGGCATGAACGAGACAATGTCATCTGGCAGCTTGACTCGACCTGGGGATGCTTGCAGCTTATTTAGATCAACGAGGGCAGCCCTATGGTCACGCGAAACATGACTGAGCATAGTTGTTCCTTTTAAGCTATGAGACCTCCGAGCAAAACTGCGTGGCATTTTGTCACGGTGGACATTGCACGAGTGTGTGCGCTGGCGAGCGCCTGTGTGTGTTTCGACGAATCAAGCTAGAGGTGTTAGCGTGAGCATGTCAGTGTGGATTTGTCTAGGTTCCTTCCTAAGTGGGTTTTTGGAGAGAGGTGTGCTACACTCTGGCCGCTTGCAGGTGCAATGTGAGAGTGTAGTTTTTGGTGAGAGGTGTCTACACTCAAGCCCCTTGCAGGTGCATTGTGAGTGAGTAGTTTTTGGAGAGAAGTGTACTACACTCGGGCTGCATGCAGGTGCAGTGTGAGAGAGTAGTTTGTATGCTGCATGTGTGCAGGCAGCGTGTGCTGTAGTATGATCACTTGCAGGGTTCTCCCTACGTTGCGCAAACGGGGCGCGCGCGCCCCGTTTGGGAAAACTCCCCCCTGTTTCAATCGTTGCGCCCCGATTAAATTCCATCACAATAAAAGTTTGCCAGCGCGGGAATCGATCGTCAAGAATTCCCATTCGACCAGGCGCGTGTATTTTTACCGTGCCACGCATGCACTGCACACAATACACAAGTACAAACAGTTAACCTGTCGCACACCCAACACTAACTGTATTCCGACTTGGCTATCT